TGGAACCGCCCCTAAAAATTTAGTAGGGTGAAAAATATTTCAAGAGGCCCAACATCTTAATATCGGATAAAATATCATACCGTGGAGAGGAAAATGGTCAATATGAAGCGGCCCTATCTTACATTTTCAAAATAAGTCGGGCCATGGCCCGACATTAACATAGGGTTCGGCGCCACTGTCACCAGCAAATATGATAATGTCATTAGGTAATYTTGCCAATTTAGATTTATTTCATTGAAGTAGTAATGATATTAAACAGATATATGGTTTAATTTAAATTTYCATAATATTACCAAACTTTGTACCTACTACGAAAAGTACAAAATTATTGTTATTAATTTATTATTATTAATTTTACTTTTTATTGTATACAAATTGATTCTCACATACTGTAAAAGCTTTCTTTTCTCTATGTAGTTATATTGTAACTGTTATATTTGTACATACTTTTTGTAAATGGAGTTATTTTTCTCCGTAAATAAATAAATAAATAAATCAGAATTTTGCGTATACCTACTAGGGATTCAATTAAATTTAAAATAGCTGGACAGTTTATACAATCATAAACATAATATATAATATACATATATTTATCACAGCAGACAAACATTATATCTATTAAATCACGTCTGATGTTAAGAGAGTCAATACCTACAGGCTACAATTAATACCTATAGAGTCTTGAACCAAAAGGTAAGAGTATCTGGCGATAGTACAATGAGTAATAAAGGCAACTCTTTTCAGAAATTTATACTGAATATTATTAAGCTCATTTGAATAAGTTTAATAATTATTATTAGATCAAATTCTAGGTTTGATCTAACTAAAGAAGTATACACATAATTTAAACATATACCTATGATTTCCAAAGTTCTTAGTATATCTAGTAATAAAACATTAAAACCCAACATTATATTATATTCGATTATTCACGCCGTGATATACCTCATACACGTCATATGTTAAGAGGACGTCGAACGTGTATATTGTAAGTGTAAAACATGCCTCAGCTCTATGCACACAGCACACCAATACACAAATACCGCAGAAACGCAATTTTAACACTAAAAGAAAGATCATGACTTGAACTGTACGTTCTCGATGGTTTTTTTTTTTAAATTATTTTGTTGTTTTGTTTTTATTATGGGGGGAGATAAAGAAAATTACATTTTTAAACTTAAATATTTGTTTAGGAACATAATCAATCAAAAAAATCTCTTCGAGACATAGTTTAATTTCTCTTCTTTCAAAATAACTAAACACAATATTCATCTAAGTGAATTATTGAAGGAGCTGTAACTGACAACTGTAGAGCGAATGATAGTTATTTTTTTAAATTTAAATATATTTGAGCCGTCAAGTGCTGCGCCTATCGGCACACGAATGAAATTAACAACAGCTAGGTACTCTACTATATAATAGCCAATAGGTATAATAATGACAATATTATAAAATTTATTCATTTACTCGAATTGTTTTTGACAACAATTATTTCAACCTACTTTATTACTTCGAGAAAAATAAATTACTAATTCATTATCTGAAGATATACTGTGAAATACCAAAGGTTATACGTATTCTAAATATAGTCTAACGCCAAACACTACTGACAAATCAGTATATGTATATTGTTTATGTACGTATTGTTAACATCACCAGCTAGTGAATAATTATGTAACAGTGACGTTGTTTTTGTAAGTTTTTGTCGTAGTTAATCATAACATACTTAAATTTAWATTACCAATGATGAATATTTTCAATAAAAAATATTTTATGTATCAWGGAAATCATTTATTGCGAGTGTAGCCAGTGTAGGTACATTCTAATTTCTATAGATACCACATTATAATACAACAATGTTAATAATAATAATATAATTTACGTTGATGTAATAAATTTACAATAATACATTGTAATTCTTATAATAGATTTACTTTGTTACTTACTTATTTTATATATTTAAATATTTAATTATCAGTTATCACAATTATTGTAACTCTATGTTAACAACTATTTCAGTATAGTTCTTATAGTTCATAAGTATATAATGACCTAAGTGAATTCTTAGCTTATTACTTATTATTTTTGTAGTATCTAAGTGTATAGTATTACTGTATTAAAATAGATAGTGTAGTAGACTATAGGCTATAGCGGATAAAATTGTATGGCCCCAACAACGAGTATGTATAATATTACTAATTATAAGGTATATACCTTCGCGATAATCTGATTATTTTCTGTGTTTGTAAGTTGGATTTTTCACAGTATTTCAACTTTTGTTAAAGTTATGACTTATCAAGAATATTAAAATTTAAAAATATTCAAAAACGAAT